TCCAATGTGTCCAATCACTCAAGTATCAAATTTCCAATGTCCCATATCTCTCAAGTATCAAATTTCCAATGTGTCCAATCACTCAAGTATCAAATTTCCAGTTTCCCAAATCCCTCAAGTATCAAATTCCCGATTTCCCAAATCTCTCAAACACCAAATTTTCGCACTACCAAATCTCTCAAATATCAAATTCTCAAATTTCCAAGTTCCTCAAGCTCCAAATTCCCGAATTTCTAAACTTCCAAATCCCTCAACTTTCAAACCCCCAAATTTCCGAATCCCCCAAGTACCAAATTCCCCAGAATTCCAAATCCCTCAACCATCAAACTTCCAAATCCCCAAACTGTCTCACCCTTAAATCCCTAATCCATCAAATTTCCAATATTACAAAACTTAAACCCACCACCCTATATAAGATCGCAAGATGTTTTTCTCCTTTTCATCCCCATTTGATTCTGGTGTTTAAAAATATTTCAAAGAAGTCTTATATCTATATACGCGCTGCTTTCTTTCGACGCAGTTAGGCATTCCCTATTTTCCTCCTTTTGTATGGTGGTGAAAGGAGAGTTAATGGAAAGGCGGTTGGATTCTATCGAACGTAAGCATTGGATGGCGCACCACTAAATCATAATGTGATTCTAAAGGGGCGGTTCAGCTCTGAATGCACGTTATTCGAAGACAAAAGGGCAGGAAAAAATCAGTCCTGTTTCTTTGACTCATTTTTCTCCTTAACGGGGTACTCCGATTTCACTCTCCTTTTTTAACAACAATTTTTCCAAAATTATTACTAAACTATGTGTCTCAAATACTTCTTTTATACTTTGAAAACTATTCGTGTTTAAAATTTTTATAAACAATATAATTGTCTGATTGCAACGTTACGTTGAATATTTTTAAAGAAAATTATTTATAAATAAAGTATTGACAATTACTGCGAGTGCGTCACGAGTGCGTCATAGCTCACCCCATGGGTTGACCGTACATTTATCACAAAGTCCAGCCATTTAAAATTGTTTACAAGAACCGAATTAACAACGATCATACGGAAGAAGATAAAATTCACTGAAAATAGTCGAATATCAGCTTGAAATCAATTTCCCCTGGAAGCTGATAAATAAACAGTAACAATGTTGACATTAGAAGCAATTAATTCCGTTTGTTAACCGTTCCAACATAATTGTGCATATCTGTTGTCTATTCAGGCGAATGTAATTGATGATTTCAATTGCAACATGTTCAACGCTTCTCTGAATCTAATTATATGCAGCAGGATCAGTACACTTGTTACCTAGTTAACGACCGAGTGTGGAATTCTGTCGTGAGCAGCGTCGATAGAATGACTAACCACCCTCTTGAACGTACTTAAAACACGACTGTGCATTCTGTAAATTATATATGTAATGTAGTTTCCCTGAGGAATATCGTGTGTTACAGAAGTAGGTGACACTAATGAGTTTCTCTGTTTGAAGGAGAATATTAGTTTCTTATGTTCACTTTTATATACAATTTTTTTTAACGACCTCTGTTTAAAGGACAAACAATTTTAAATGACAAGTACAGTGATATAATACTTTATAACCCACATATTTTAAATAACTGTATAAAACTGGATGATAAAATGATAACCTTCATAACAATAATAGAAAATTTCAATAACCTTGATGACCTTGATGACCATGAGACTTGAGTATCATAAGAGTGACTACATATTTAGCTCCCATTTTATTAACCTAACCTCAAAACCCAATTTTACACAAAACATTCACAATTCCAAAAATTGTACACACTCTTCAAATACCAACACTCTAATGTCACCTTCTAAAGTCACAGTCTTCACATAAAGACCATAATAATCTTGATGACCCCAATGTCTTTCATTTTTGACTCTGATAAGAACGACTACATATTTAGCTCCCATTTTATTAACCTAACCTCAAAATTCAATTTTGCACGAAATATTCACAATTCCAAAAATTGTACACACTCTTCAAATTCCAAAACTCTAATGTCACCTTCTAATGTCATAGTGTTCACATAAGGACCATAATAACCTTGATGACCCTAATGCCTTTGATTTTTGACTCTGATAAGAGTGATTACATATTTAGCTCCCATTTTATTAACCTAACCTCAAAATTCAATTTTGCACGAAATATTCACAATTCCAAAAATTGTACACACTCTTCAAATAACAAAATTCGAATGTCACCTTCTAATGTCACCCTCTGATTCACCATAGTGTCCACATAAATTTTGTCATATGTAGACTGTGGAATGTGTGGGACTTAATGTATGTGGACTTTGGAATGTGTAGAAACTAGCATATGTGAACTTTGCAATGCATGGAATTTGGCATAATGTCGACTTTGGAATGGATGGAATTTCTAATATGTGGACTTAGGATCACTTAAACTTTGATATAGGTGGAATTTGACATATGTGGACTTTGGAATGTGTAGAAACTAGCATATGTGAACTTTGTAATGCATGGAATTTAGCATATGCGGATTTTGAAATAGATGGAATTTCTAATATGTGGACTTAGGATCACTCAAACTTTGATATGGGTGCAATTTGACATATGTGGACTTTGGAATGCGTGGAAATTGGCATATGTGGTCTTTGCAATGCATGGAATTTGGCATATGTGGACTTTGGAATGAATGGAATTTCTAGTATGTGGACTTAGGATCACTCAAACTTTGATATAGGTGCAATTTGACATATGTA